TCCAGCCCTCAGACCGTTTCTGTGGCCGCCTCTGGAACCACTCCAACAGGTCCATGTCTCTCCTGTGCTGGGGACCCCAGAGCTGGACGCAGTGCTCCAGGGGGGTCTCACCAGGGCGGAGCAGAGGGGCAGAATCCCCTCCCTCCACCTGCTGGCCACACTGCTGCTGATGCAGCCCTGGACACGGTTGGCCTTCTGGGCTGCAAGCGTGCATTGCCAGCTGATGTCCTGTTTTTCACCCACCAGCATCCCCGAGTCCTTGTCCAGAGGGCTGCGCACAACCCGTTCATCACCCATCACTTCCCAGCGCCTGGCCTTCTCACAGTGGAGAGGCTTTGAGCAAGCTGGCTCGAGGAGGACCTGAAAGCACACCCCGGAGCACTTCTCAGGGCACAGCAGTCCTCAGGCATGGGTAAAGCCTGCAGGGGAGGTTTTGTGGACAGCAGCAGGGTTCCCACGCACTGCAGCCTGCGGGCTGGAAAGCTGCTCTGCAGCTTTCCAAAAGGAAATGCCCACAGCCCGACCTGGCCTGCTCCCGTCCTTCAAGAGGGCGGAACAGGCATGGCCCGACCGCAACGGCCTTGGGGCACGATGCTCACAGGTGCCCCAGGCCGCGCTTTGCCACCCCAGCTCTCACAGGACAGGCCAACCCCTGGCAGAAGCCACACTCCTGGGGCAACAGCCACAGGGCACCTCGGTGCCCGATGAGGTTTCACTGTCCAGCCGTGTGGGGAGAAGGTCCGATGCCTGGGCCTGGCACACACACAGCAGGAGAAAAATAAAACAGCAAAGACTTTGCTCTAATTGCACAAGCGAGACCCAGCTCAGCCTCCCGGTACCGGCGTCCTGGAGGAGCCCACAAGCTCTTTCCTGCAGCCCACATATCTTTCAGGAGTTGTTTGGCTTAAATAAGAGGTGCCGCTTGGGGCACCTGGAACCAGCTTCTGCTCCGACCACCATCCCTCAGCCAACTCCAGCCCCTACAGACGCCCCCGCCCGCGGGCTCGCTGCGGCTGCGCTGGGTGCTTACCTTCAGCTTTTCAAAGCGATCGCTGAGGGATGCCACTTGGTGGTCCCGGTGGCGGCCCACCAGTTTACATAAGGCACAGATGAGCTGGTCATCAGCAACACAGTACATGTTCACCTTCTCGTTCTCGTGCTCCAGGCACGTGAGTCCTCGGAAGTGTGCGTCGGGCACGGGCTCCACCAGACGGTGGCTGGTGAAGGGCTTCTTGTTGGGGTGGGTGGCCCGCAGGCAGCGGTCGCAGTAGGACACCTCGCAGGTGATGCACGTCTTCACCGCATCCCGCGGGGGATCCTGCTCGCAGAACTGACAGGCGATCCTCTCGCCGGCCACGGACATGGTAGGGCTGTTGCGGTACGTCCTCTCGCGGCGGCTCTCGCTGGGGGAGTTGGGGCCGCTCAGGGATGCCTTCTGGAAGCGGTCAATGATGTTCTGCAGGGTCACATTCCTCTTGAGGCCCTCCAGGCCCCGGTGGTTGAGGGAGATGACATAGCGGCACGTGGGGCACTGGAAGGCGGTGATGGGCTCGATGGACTCGCTGGAGGAGCAGCTGGACACCAGGACACGGTGGGCACAGCTGAAGCAGAGGCTGTGGGCGCACGGCAGCAAGAGAGGGTCTTCAAATAACTCCAGGCAGATTGGGCAGGTCAATTCTGACTCCAGTGTTTCCATCTTTAGTTAAAACAATCCTGATTCAGCATCAAAAACCAGAGAAGGTGGTCTGGTACCTGGGAGAGAGGAAAGCAGAGACATGAGACAGCGGGTCTCCCAGGCAGCTCCTCCCCACCAGAAACAGGCACCCAGGAGAGTCACACATGTCGCCTCTGCAACACCCCACCACTCTCTGCACCCCGACACTGTTACTACAGCCCAGCCAGGATCACGCAAGCACGTCGGCATGGCTGAAGCATCTCACCATACTGCCCACCTGAGCCGAGCCACCGGCTCACACCAGTGCCCAGAGGTGCCATGGGAGAAGAACCCCTTGGAGGGGAAGGGAGAAGGGGCAGCAGCGAGCTCCTCTCCATCACCTTCCAGCCCAGCCAGGGAAGAGGACTTGGACAGCAAGTCTGAATACAAAAAACAGGAGAACCACATGATTTCATGCCTCTGAGTGCACACTGCCCAAGACAGGAGTGGAGGGCCATGCTGGTTTCCCATGCGCAAAGGCTCTGCTGCACAGCAAAGATAAATCCCCTCCAGCAGCTACACAGTCCTGTCTCCTTTTGGTGAAGGGGAAAAGGTGAATCATGTCGCAGAAACTCTGAGCAAAGTGGGTCAGGAGTGCTAACATACCCTGCTCTGCGTTCCTCCCAGCCATCGCCTTTCAGGAGAGGCAGGGAAAGAAGAGCAGCAAAATTACAGCCTGCAAACTTCCATCTCCCAGCTGTCCGCCAGTGCCCTCCAGCAACAGCCAGGGGTGCCCAAATCAACTCCAGCTGGAGGCAAACGAGCTCATATTTTTAGATTGCCTCTCCTGC